CAGCGTCTGCAGCGCTTGGGGGCGGGGCCTGGCGTCCCTCAGTCCCGCCCCGCCGCAGGCACTTCCGGGCGCGGAACCTGCGTCTCCTGTCTCCTTCCGGGTGAGGTGGGTGTCCCTTGGGTCGCCGCCCACCGTGCCTGGCGTTCAGTGAGTCACCGGCTTTATTATAAAAACGGTGAGTTGTGGAGCCGCTGACACCGAATGCGGAGGCACTTCCTCGTCACCCCCTTGAAAACGGTGTCAGTCAAACCCTCTGTGAACACGTGCCGCCAGGGAAGGTCGCTGTGGGTGGATCCTGAACATCTGAGGTTCCCCCCATGTAAACTTCCTTATTCTTCCCTTTTCTTTTTCTTTAAAATATATTTTTTATTGATTTGACAAAGGAAGGGAGAGGGAGCGAGGGAGAGGAACGTCAGTGATGAGAGAGAATCATGGACCGGCTGCCTCCTGCACGCCCCCTACTGGGGGTGGAGCCGCACACCAGGCGTGAGCCCTGCAGGGGATGGAGCTGTGACCTCCTGGTTCCTAGGTCGCCGCTCAGCCCCTGAGCACGTGGCCTGGCTGTTCTTCCTTTTCTGACGGGAGCTAGAACAGGAGCACCAAACCTGCCAGCTTGAAACGAGCATTTCACACCGACAACCACAGAACTTGGTTTCCACTTTGTTCTCAGTTGCAGGGACTTAAGGGGCCCCGTGGGGCAGGACGGACGGGGGAGGTGAGCAATTGCTTTAAAAGAACAAAATCACTGCCTGTGTGCGAGTATGTATGTGCACATGTGTGTGTATGTATGTATCCCTTTCTCCTTCTTTACATTTAATGTTATAGTTCACAGTTCTTGAGATGTATACATTCAGATATTTTTGAGGCACATAGAGGGTGGCATCCTACAACTTACACAAGTCTTTATTTTCTTAATATTTGTAATTTCACATTTTCCCTAATTTTTACTGCCCGTTATCTGAAAGAGTATTTTTAATTTGAAAAATGTGCTCCTTAGGAGGAGATAGGTAGATTTTGCTTTCAACAATGAGAAATCCATTTTTTCATTCTTTTTAGACACACACAATTGGAATATCTTTCTCACATGAACATTTAGGAGCAGTGTAAAACTGGATTTTCACATTTCAGTTGCCTCATGTAAGCCTTCAATAAACTTTAATGTGAAATATGTGAGTTAAAATTTCCTGTGTAAATTCTGAAGTTCGGGGTAGAGAAAATTTGGCAAGGTTACACATCCCAGCTATTCATGCTGCAGAAATATCTTAAAGATATTTCCAAAGAAGAAACCTTCTGGTTTTCTAATGTCTAATACAAGTTTCTCCAACTTTGATTTAAAAAAATATTTAGACTCAAAAGGATTTAAATTCAGGCAGATCACATTTTCTTAGGCAGGGGGACAATCGATGCTCTAGCGTCCATGCCACTGCTCCCCCAGGTCTCCCGGTCTGAGATCCTTTATCTGGATCACCTCTCACTCCTCATCCTCACGTCTATGGAGACCTGAACACAGATTGAGGAGCCAAGACTGTATGTGATTTCAGTTCAAAGAATCCTGATATCTGAAGTCTTCCCCCATTTTGTTTTTCTTCATCTGCCTCTTTCTTTACAAGGGAGTCAATTGACATAGTTCTATCCATGTAAACCCTCCAGCCTCTGACCCACCTTTTCCATCGAACCTTCTGTGTTTCTGGTTTATACACAGTGTAAGCTTTGTGAGGCTAAAAGTCAACTGAAGTGACTCCTCTGGGGTACATATGGGCTGCATATTTTTTGCAAGTTCCCTGATTAGAGAATTCAAATGTTTTAGAACATGTTTAACAGCCCCAGTGCTCAGGACTCACACAAGAGCTCGCTGAACTTATACTTCTGAGAGAAGGATCCAGACATCAGTATCTTTTGTCTCTCATCAAGTGGTTCCAGGGTAACGCAAATTGAGAACTGATCTAAATGCCGGGCTGATCACACTTTAATGTGTGTGCAGACTGTGGGGACATTGCTGACACGCGTGTAGTGCTGCAGCGGAGCTGGGCTGTGCCTGAGACTCTTTATATCTAATAAGCCACAGATCCAACAAAAGTCCTCTTTATTCTCTGGTGAATAAACTTGGATAAGTTAAGTTTTATAAATATGAGAAATGTTTAGAAATCAAAGTTCCTATAGAATATCATAAATGAGAGAACTTTATTAACATTACAACAATTTTAAACACACATTTGCAGTGACCAACAGTAACTAAAATGGACAAGGCCAAAAGAATACTCCTTATGATCGTTTCCACTAAAATACCTCTACGATATTGAAAACTTGCATTTCAGGCCAATGTGCTGCTGGAGAGATGCAGACGCTCTAGGTGGGTACGTTAC